TAGCCCCTGATTTAAACAAATACCTCCAGCCCCCAAACACTATGAGGGTATTATCTAGGAAGATCTAAATCCAGGTCAGCAGAGATATCCCAATAATGCAGAGATATCCCAATATTCTAAGTCTCAAGCTACTGATACAGTATTGAGCAGAGTCATCTTCTTAACCCTCAGAGACTTTTACATGCACTCATATGTGATTCCCAGTTATCTTCAGACAGTTTCACCCTATGCTTTTTGAGAGCTGGATCTGCCCAGCAGAAGATTCTCACCAAAACAGCTCTCTCTAGGCAGAGCGCTCCCTAAGCAGAAAACAAGATTAAAGAAGAACAGCAGTGGCAGCAATAGGAAGACAGCTTTATGAAAGTGAAACAAGAGAAAATAGAGGGTACCTAAGCTGACAGAACCCAAGGAAAGATTTCTGCCTTGGTTCCTTTTTAATGCCAGCTGGTAAGCTGCTGGCTCTAAGTCACCAGGATGGTCTTCTCCCGAGAGTAACTACCTTGTTGCAATCCAGATGCTTGGCAGACAAGGGGGTTATCACAACTACAGCTTTTAGAAAAGCACAGGCCAAATTTATGGGGTGTAATTTATGCTAGTTTGTTGATTTTTTTTTTTAACATTTGTTATTGACTTTTTCCTGCTTCCAATGAAATCTAGGGCAAAATTGTCATAATCTGCAATAAAACTGTTAAGTCAAAGCAAATGCCTCTGAAAATAAAGATTCACTTCCTAATATATTTAATAGCATTTGCTTTGATTGGTGTTTACAGTTTCAGAAGTCACATCTATCAGTACTGTGAAGTGAGAAGACTGCTTTTACTCTGTATCATCTTCCCAGTTCTCAAGCTTGGGCCTTTACATATTAACTTTATCAACACAAATGGTCTTTTTTACTTCAGTGTAACTACCTGCTTACCACATTCAGTGGAGACTAATTTTAGAGCAAGAAATTCCTTCTGCCCAGAGTAAGGCAAAGCCATAGTTCCCCTTTGAACCCTGAGTAAAGCCACATGTGTGGAAGGCACATAGTCACCAGAGCCAGGGGCAGCTCCTGCCGAGGGAAGGATGCTCTCTACTGCCCAGGGCCAGCCTGCATTCGGCAATTCACTGTGATTCAGAAGGCAAAGACCAAAACAGATTTTGCTGTAACGTAAATCTTGACTTTCAGCGTGGAAGTTATCAGCTCATAGTGCTGTAAAAGCCAGCCAGATATGCTCTGTAACAACTTATTCCAGCAGTGGGTGAGGAAATCACCACTGCTGTCTAGCTTTCATTATTATGCACAGCACCATCATTTGTCTGCTCACACAATGATTTCTAGAATGAAGACAACACTTAGGAAAAACAAATATTTAAAAGAGATAACATTAGAAAGGTAGACAATCATAGATAAAAACTAAAACAGAAGTACTCTTTCCCTCTAGCCTAGTGATTTCAAGAAAAACAATCAGGAAGTCAGCCCCTTCCCCTCTGCTTCATGCAAGTTCTGGGTATAAAACTAAATATAGCCAGGGAATGAAGGACCAGAAAACCATTTTTCCAGCAACACACAGAGACAAAGTGGAAGTAAAGCACAGTATCCTGCAAAGGAAGGTACAACAGCCTGTCTCTTTAGGGCCAGGGTGATTTAGACTAGGTATGCCGTTTGAGCCTAGAAGTATTCACTCTTAATACTTTAGCTTTTAAAAATATGATGAGCTGATCAAGCACACAAGATACCTGGCAAAAAAAAAAAAACCAAACACTGCAAACAGGTCTTATTTAAAAAAAAATTATCCCCACAGCTGTTGATTTGGTTTCTCATTGAATTTTTTCAGCCATCTTTGAATGCAGAAGTAAAACTATCATTAAATGTGATGCCGTTCTTAGAAATTACCCCAACTCTACTTCGGGCCAACAAAAAGACACCTCAGTACCAAATGTTAAACAGTCTCCTGATCTGAAGCACAAGAAACAGCATTTCACTGGAGCAATACAGATTGATTACAGTTATTAACTCTGAAAGGTAACATCACCCTGTGTCTAAATTTTATGCCAAAGTGCCTGGTTTCCATTTACCAGCTAAGTAAAGCTGGATGAGAAACTTAACACCTTGGGCCTGTATGTCCCAGTCTGCAAAATATAATATGTCCTTTGGAAGACTTGGGAAAACTATTTGTAGCTTTGCATACAGAGCACATGGCTGGGGCTTGTGGTATAAGCTCAATTCCCTGCTGCATCCTCAGCTCCATGGATAACTTTCAGCTTCCATGTCAGCTTCCTAGTCAGTAAAATGGTGCAACCTGCAGCTGTTTTTAAATCTGCTTCAGGAGTTGGATATCAAATCTTTGGAAAAACCTGGTATTAGAATAGCAAAGGGTTTTTTTTTAGGTCTGAGAATATCTAATCTGATGAACACAAATTTTCTGATCAGTAAAGATTACTTCTGTTTTAAAAAATCTAAGGTACAGAACATGTTAAAACTTGTAAAATGAGAAAGCATTTCTGTTACTATAGGAGAGAAGGATGGAAAGGCAAATACTGAACCTCTATACACATGGTAGATGCAGGTTAACTTGGGAGCAAAGTGGCAGGATGCAGAAGTGTTTTAAATTTCTACAACTGCTCATCTGCCGTCAAGCTCCAGGGTGTGTTTAATGACATATTTATTCCATATTCCTAGATGGAAGGAGCCAGCCCAGCAATCAGAGGCATAGCAACTTGATGTGTCATATGGCGAGGTCCTACAAGCTGCTCCAGAGGTCTGGAATGGCACTGACAGTCCAGTGTGGCAGCAGGCACTAAAGTGATGGAATTCAACTGTTGTACCCAGTGGTCTCCTGCTGCCACTCACACTGAACAAGGACCAAACTTGCCTAGCTACTAAAGGTTGTCATGGAAGTTAAAACCCATTTTTTCCAGTATCAAGAAGAAGCTTCACCAGTTTTCATGTATTTTCTCTAACATTTCCCTTCTGTTATGCTTGACATTTACTTCATAAAGGACTTTAGCTTCAGATGGAAGCAAGTATCATTCTCCCTTTCACCCAGAGAAAGGAAGAAATCAACAGATATGGGAGTTATGACTCTGCAGAACATGGTAAGTTTCCAAAAGGAAAAAAACCCAACCTAAATAGAATTCCTCAGTGGAAATTTTTACTTGTGCATTGAAGGTTTATTTCTGAAATATCTTGAACTGGATTGCTTATTTACTGCCCAAAGATAACATGCAATGCTAGCATCAGTAGTTCTGTATTCCTTTATTTTGCTCTAGAGAGGGATACAAATGGATACAAATCCCTAAAAGACTACAGAGTACTTCTGTGGATGAAAGGCTATTCAGATGCATAGCATCTTCACAATTAGTGGAAAACTGGGCAAGTGATACAGTTATTCCTGTCATCACACCCTGAACACAGCAGCCTCACAAAATGTCTTTTCAAGACATAGTTCAGTGTATGATTTGACAGGCTAAAGGACAAGAAAACTGACTTGTTGATGACTGTAGAAAAACACATACAAACCGCCTGAAAAAGAAGAACGGAGAACCCCATGTAACAGAAGTTTTCCAAAGAACTCTTCTGAAGGAAACAAGTTAGCAATCAGTGGTACCTATGGCATGTCACAGTAACTAAAGGTAGATACGTGATATTTCAAATTTATTTCATATTTCTGTTTAGTTGCATGACAGAAGCACAGCTTTCCCCTAAAACAGAATCTTGTACTACTCAGCTGAAATTTAGATATAGGAAGTGAGAGCTCCAGGCGTTCTGCAAGAAAGGACCTAGAAATAGGTCCTTGCAAAAGCAATTTTGCTACTTTGTGCTAAATGTGTGCACTGGGGCTCCGCTGCACAAAGTATAAGCAGCTTCAGAGAGAGACACAGACTAAATTTTGTGCAATTCAAACTAACCACACACTGGGATCTCCGACGCATTTCACGCTCATCCGTCAGTGAGTGATCAACAATGAGATTCACTGTTAAGGTTATTAATGGCCAAATGCCGGTAGCAGCTCCGTTATTCCTCAGCAGAAGAAAAAATACTGCGATTTTCTCCAGACAAACAAGCCAAGTCATCCACGCTTGTTTTCATGTATTCGAGCTTACAACTCGCCACTTTAGTCAGATATTTGAGAGCAGCATCATTTCCTGCTGCTTGGAAATCAGCTTTAAGGGGCGTGTTCTCTGCAGCGGCACTGCTTGCTGTCATCCAGGCAGCATTTTAAATAACTGTATATTGACATAAGGAGCCACCGGCCGTATTATCGCCCTTCGGGTCGGCAGCAAGGAGCACATCAAACCAGTTGCGTTCCGGGCTGCGCCGCGACCCTTATCAAACAATGCAAACAATTTTAATGAGCTTATCTGCCGGAACATATTGTCAGAGATGTTAATGCAGAAGCGCTGCCAGCAACGCATGCCAAACGATTCATCAAAAATGCCTACAACTGCGACAAAAGACGGGTGTCCCCCCCAAACGAGAGACGATAAATAAACACAAAATGGGGCTGGCGGGGAGCGGGGGCGGGGATGGAGCCGCCCTCCCCCGCGCAGGCACCGGCAGAGCTGTCACCCCCGCCCCAGGAGCGGGGGGCGGCTGTCACCCCCGCCCTGGCGTGCGGGGCCGGGCGCTGCCCGGTGCCCGGTGCGGCTCTCCCGGGCGGGCAGGGGCTGCCCGCGCCCCGCCATCCGCGGCCGCCGCCTCCCGCACGGCGCCGCCTCCCTCCGAGATCCGCAGCGAGGTGCTGCGGCTCTTTTCCAAGGGGAGCTGGCTGCCTGCGCGGGGGGCGTTCTCGCCTTCCCTTTTATTCCGCCCCCTCCTCTTTCTTTTTTTTCATCTTTTTTTTTTTTTTAATTATCATTTTTAACCGCCTTTCTTCCGCCCGGGCGCGGCGAGCCCCCTCACGCATCCCGCCTCTCCCCCGAGCGCTCCGCAGCCGGACAATGCGGGGCCGGCGGGAGAGGAGGGGGCTGCAGCCCGCCCGCCTTATGCAACGCCCGCCGCAGCGCCCCCGCCGTACCTGTAGGAGCGCTCCCCCCGCACCGTGTGCTTCCTGAAGGGGATGATGGTCCCGTTATCCTGGATGATGTCGTTGTTGTTCTCGCCATTTGGGGACAGGGCTTGGGTCGGTCCGGGCATTGGCGCTCCCGCCGCTCCGCAGAGCCCCGCGTTGCTGCCGCTGCTGCTGCTGCTGGTGTGCGGAAGGTGGCGGCAGCCGCGACTCCGCCGCCCGCCCGCCCCGCCCCGCCGCGCGTCAGCCCCGCCGCCGCCGCCGCCGCCGCCACACGTGACCGCCCCTCGCCATGGCAACGGGCCGGCGCCGCGCTGCGCCCGGGGACGGCAGCGGGCAGGCCGGGCGGGCACGGCGGGGAAGGCAGGGAGAGGGGCCCGCCCCGCCCCGCGCCCCCACACAAAGAGCCGCTCGCCCCGGCAGTGAGGGGCGGCCCGAGCTGTTCGGCGGCCCCGGCACACACAAAGCGCCCGGGCACCCCCCGGCCTCACACGGCGGTGCCGCCGCCCCCGCGCCTGTCCCCACACCCGTGGGCGGCATAGAAACGGCGCCTGGGCCGCGGGGACCGCGCCGTGCCCTGCCCACCGCCACCCTGACAGCCGTGTGCGCGTCCGGCCGAGACCTCGACGGCCGCTGCCTCATTGTCGCCCTCCGCGCCCCCGGTACCTCAGCATCGTCCGCCTCCTGCCCACACCAAGGAGCTATGGCGCTTCTTTTGAAGGAGCCCCACGCCGGGCTGCTCGGTTACAGAGCGGCGAGCCGCCGCAGGGAACGCCGCCCAGCTCTGCCCAGCTCTGTCTCCCCTCGGCGCGGGTGTGCCGGGGGCGATGGCCATCCCCGCCGCATAAAGCCCGCCCGCACCGGCTGCAGCTCGCAAGAATCATAGCGTGGCATTCGTGCTTCACATGGTAAACGCTTTATTTTTAAAAAGGGCATAAATATTAAGTGACATGAGCTACAAGATGTAAAAAATCATGGACTCCTAATAATAAAACAGCACACGAAGGTCTTAGTTATTTTATGCCCTTTTTTCCCGATTCCTGTGTCTGCTACTCCGCCTGCATTTCCACCCCAAGCACCAGGATGTTCAAAGCTCTGGATACCAAGCTCTGTATCTCTGCTTACAACTTCACTGGAGAGCACAGTATAACACCTGTCAAGCTGCATTGCACATTTCCAGCATTCTCCTGCTCTCAGGCTTGCACAGGAAAAAAAAAAAACATTTGATGGCACATCCTTCAAAATCTTCCTTGGATCAGAAACAAGAAGAGATCTGCCAAGGCAGTGGCACTGAACTTCTGCATTGCTAGCACCACCAATCACAGAACCCTCATCTCTTCCTCCCCTTCTTCTAGAACAGTTTTTGCATCCTCCCCAGCCCGTTTTCCTCTGCAATTCTTTATTATTTCTGCATATCTCCCCTTGCCTATATAGCAACGTGCTTCAAAGTTTGACATTAGCACAGATCTGTGCTGGTCATCCTCAGGAGCAGACCTGAACTTCACTGTGGCCAAAACCCACCCTCATGTCCCAATAGTGCATCAAAACCCACACTTCTACCACCGTAGAAAAATACTGTCCAGGTGTTTACAAATTATTTTCTCTAAGCAGAAACCAACAAGGGTGGCTATAGGCATAGTCTCTAAAGAGATCTATGTGACCTCTCATGGCTGTTAGATGCAAAATATTTGGACTGATCTATTAACATCTTAAAAAATACATGCCCCCAAATGCAAGTCTCTTTTTAAAGGAATCTTAAGATGGTAGGTCGAACAGAAGCCATGTGAGTACTTCTAATATGTTCTCAGAGACACATGCTGGTATTTTAACTCATGAAGTATGAGTTTGATCAGGTTTCTGCCTCAAATTTTTTTCTGGGCAAAGAAAGTGACTTAATGAAATTTTAAATAATCTTTACCTGATGTTTCAGACTGAAATGACACTACTGAAATCTTAGTTTACGTGATTATATTCATAATATAGACCATTCACAGAGAGCTTGTAAGGTGAATAAAATCAATAAAACCAACTGCACAACACTTGGACTGCTGAGAACTCCCTGGATTTAAATCAGATGTATAGATTAACACATTTTAGAGCAGTCTCTAACAAGGCTCAAGTTAGTCTGCCAATTTGCCACTGTCTTCTGCACATCAAGACAGGGAATCTTCTTATACTTTCTGCCAGCTTTTCAAATATACTCATATTTATCTTTCAGTAACCAATCTATGGACATTTGCAATTGGCACACTTCATTGAAGCACGCTTCATTCATCTGGTAATTGGAGGAAGCTACTTTTGAGTCTTTTTCAAAACAAGCAACAAAAAACATTCTGTTAAAAACTCCAATAAGTGTATTAGTAACACTCAAGAACATGGACAAGCCAGAAATGCTGTGTGGTGACAGAATATAAAAATAATCTACAGCAGGTCTTTATCTGCCAGACATAACCCTACCTGCTCTGCTAGGGAGCAAGCAGTAAAACACTCTGCAACCCTAACTTGTAAAAACATTTTTATTTCTTCACCAGTGGCAATGAACAGAAGCTTCTTTATTGAAGTCCCTAAAGCTGTTTAAAACATGTACCAACAGAGCTACAGAAGAGAAGTGCAGGTGAGGAGAGCATGGCAGCCCTGCTGCAGACCTCTTCTTGCCTCTGCATTAGGACCCAAGGTCAGAAGAACACACACTGCTGAGGCAGGTACCTTACCTTTACAGAGGCCGAGCCAGGCATCAGCAAAAGAAGCCTGGTACTGGTTTTCAGAAAGCACATGTTTAAGTGTGCTTCAGTCCATCTAGCACAGCCTGGGGGCTCTGGGTGCAATATGGGTGCAATATGCATGACATTCCTTCTACCTACATCTCTGTTTCTGGGCACTGTGTGGCCCACAAGCACAACTCCTGTCTTTATGTGCTGGAAGCCACTAGATCTTCCTCCCACTCTCATCATTCTAAGCTTAAAGGTCTCAAAGAAAGAGGAAACCTGTTGCTGTTATTAGGTGTCTGTACATCTGTGCTGCTTTTATAGATTTTTACATGCACTAGGCACAAAAATAGAGAATTGATCCAAAGAGTAGAAGGTCAGCCTTGGTGTTAATAAAAAGCCCCACCTGTGGAATGCTGAAAGTACTGAAATCTGGTACTCACAAGTGATATGCTGACTGAGCAAAGCTAAGAGCCAGGAAAGCAATTAATGCTGAAGGGTGGAATTACAAAACCTGATGTAATAGATCTTCAGCACTGAGACCACAGAGGCAATGGCTGAAAGGGACCTGTGGAGGTCATCCAGTCCAATCTCCCACTTGGAGCACAATCATCACCAATATGAGATCAGGTCACATTTGGTGACATGATCGTAATCAATCCAAATCTTGAAAACCTCCAAGGATGGAGATGTCACATCCTCTCCAGACCACCTCCTCCTGTACCATTCTAGCCACACAGCAAGTCCCAGGCGTACTGCTGATGCAAAAAGCACCACTCTACTGCATCACATGCATTCCAGGACTTCGATGTCTGCTCTGGTGAACCAGGCAGAGAGAATACTAGCTAAGTACTGGATACTAAGTATCCAGTAACACTACTAAGTACTGGAATAGGCCTAAACATCATTCACCAAAATCTGGTTCCTCCTTCCTCTTCAGAGCTTTTGTTTTCAGTTCCTCTCTCTTTACTTGCTCTAGGCCTCACTTACTGCAGTAGGAAGGCCATGAAGCTTAATTTATAATGCCTGAGAGTAAAATCCTCTAAAAGCCCAAAATGCAGCATTAGAAAGACCTCAGGCATACTCGAGCCAGAATTTTATATTAGGCAGCTAATGTGGAAATAAATTACAAATATTTCAATGCTGATAAGCGATCAATGCACAGCCTCTGACAGCAGAGGTGATGGCCAGGCTAGTGACTTCTGCTGATACATTTTTGAAGGGATAAAAAAGCCCCACACACATGGTTTTAGGGAGTATTTCATGACATAGCCAAACTATAAATACAATTAATGATTGCAGAAATTCCCCACTGCTTGGATAACTTTGGGGAGGTGGGAGGAATAGGGAGTGAGACTAAGAAAAACACATTTAACCCTAGAGTGGCCAGCAAGGATCCCTCATCTCTGACATCTCTGTTCATGTTCAAGCTCATAAAGGAGTCAGTGTGATATTGCTTGCAGTCTTCTCAGAATAGAGCCCAGCTACAAACTGCAGCAAACATCATGCCAGTGTAAGTATTTTGGGCCATGTACATCACTTCTCTGAGGAGTTTCATGAACATTCCTGTCACAAGTGCATTTTTATTTGCTGGGGAAAGAAAACCTGAGACTAGATTTCAGAAACCAGTTGGAAGGTAGCAATAACTTTTGGAAAGCAGCAGTCCTGAGCAATGTAGCCTGCTTTTCTAATTTAACTATCTTCATAGTCTTCCTTTATCACAACAAAGATTAACAGAATTCTGTAAAGCCACAGATTTACACACTGTAGATTAAAATCAGTTCTAGCACTGTGTTTGTAAGAAATCCATGCAGAAACAGTCTCTTTCTCCTGAAGGAGTTGGTCAACAGTGTTTAAATTTGAAAATAAGTGAATAAAGCATCTCAGGAATAAAGTTTGGAAAGAGCTAAAAGAAATTACTCTGTTGAGTCTTGGACATACCCTGGTTGTTCAAGGAAGTCCCAATTCATTAAGGTACATTGACATACTTTATTCCCAGCATGAGGAGGGTCAGTAAGATGGGTATAACCATGAGCATACTTAATTAGGCTGCATCAGAATCAGCCTAATTTCTAAAGTTGCATTTAGCAGATTAGGAACAGAAGATTCAGGAGATCCAGATCTGCATGTTATCTGTGAGAAGTACAAGTGAGGTGTCTGCAGCTGAATGTCTATTAGAGAGCACTGGCTTGTGCCAGCCTAAACCAGAGCACAGTTCTAACCTGTGACAATAACCTATCACACAGAGACATCTGTAAAGGGGTCAGCAACAGCAGGGTTCCTAACCCAGCAAACATATATCAGACGTGATGAGGTGCATGGTAAGTTTCAAGCTGATCTGGGTTAGGCAGAACTGGTGTTTCCTATTTTCCTGACATACTGTCAACAGCACTGATCAACCCAAAGGAAAACAGAGTGTCATAAAATCACTTCAGGTAAAAATTCAAAACTGTAACTTTATAGACT